GCATGAGATCCTGGGTTCAATTCCCAGCACTGCAGAAAAAGGGAAAAAAAGATAGTGAACTGTAAGACTGTTTTACAGGTTTTTATTTTCATGTAATTCTAGCAATTAACACATCAATACTTTCTATGGCTACAAATTTGAAGGGTTAAGAAATAATACCTAAACATAAGGCACTCTTGCTATTTTGATAATCTCTAAGTCTACGTTCTCAGCCTTTGATGTTTGCTATTTTTCCCCCAGTGAGCAGAAGTATTGTTATGCATCAGACTCCTTTCTTCCCCATCTCCTTCCTTCCTTCCTGTGTTTTAAGAAACATTTTAAACCAAAGTTTCAAAACATTATTCTTGATTTGCTTACAGGAAAGTAATTTACTAAAGTTCATTGTGTCATCTGTGCTTTTCATAGTATATAATATTGTTTTTAAGGATTTCTTCCCTCTCTAAAGTATGAAGGAAAATAGGAGAATGATCTTCTTGATTGGTAAAAATCAAAGTTTTAATAAGTGGTACCTTAACTTTTGGATACTTGTTTTATACTTTTGTAGCAATACTGTAATTTTTTGCTTTTTATGAGACAGTCTTGCTATGTAACTCAGGCTGGCCTGCAATTTGTGATCCTCCTGCCTCAGCCTCCCAAGTGTTGGAATCACAGGTGCGCCCCACCATGCCTTCAATGCTGTAATTTTATGAAAGAATAGCCACTGTAATAATTTGAAAGAAAGGATTAGGAATCAGAATTCCTTCAATGACTATCATGATCAAAGGCTCTTTAGGCTTCAGTTTATGCCAGGTGAACTTCCTATTTGAAGAAAAAACTAGAATTTCTACATTGAAAATGGTGTGACAGTCTATTTCCACCAGCCCCTCATGTGGATGGTGTGCCCCATCCTTTACTACTCATAGGAATCCAGTACTTCTCACTGGCTTTTAGTTGAATGCACCAATGCCTGCGCTCCATCCCAGACATTTAAATGGGTATTTGGGGGATGGGACCTAGTAATAGCTTTTTTTTTTTAAGGATCCAGGTGATTCTATAACCAGGGTTAATAATATTTGTATTAAATCAGAAAGCCTTCATGTGTATTCATCTCATCATTTACATTTTAACCTTTTATTTCATTTTCTTTTTTGTATAAGGCAAAAATATAAATTTAAATGGCTTTATAAGCATTTCACAGGGAAATTATGTTTCCATTAAAATCATCAGTATGAACTTTTTCCCCTTCTACCTTTTATCAGGTTCAGGAAACTGGGGACATTGTCATCTCAAATGCCTATGTGGACCTCCTACCAGCCTCTGGTGTTTTGGCCAAGATGCCTTCAGAGGTAGGTTATGGAAAGTGGTGTCTAAGTCATTTCCTTACTCTGATCACTAGGGATGTCCAGGACCTATGAAGAGATGCACAGTTCTCCAAGTGAAGGACACTAATTCAAAATTGAGTAGAATAAAGGGAATATTTTAGTAAGTTCTGAATTTTTAAAAAAATTTTTTTTTATAGGATAGTGGGATCAGTCAAGAAGAAAAAGTGATTCTCTAGTCTGGAGTAACTAGTCAGCTCTTTAATGAGAATATTGCAGTATTTTGGAGAAAAATAGGTGACAAAATTATGTAACTTGTACCTTTCCTTTGTTTTAAGATTATGAATACAAATACGAAACAGTAACATGTGCCATTTATTGAGAGGTTTATCTTCTCTGCTGAGGCTCTAGACAAACATGTCCATGTTCTGTGGTGATGGGAGATTAAAATATCTCTCTTAACAACAGCATAAGATGGAAAACTTTCAAAGTTTTATAGCTAGAAAAAAATTCAAGCTTCGTATAATTTAGTCCCATTTGTAAACAAAGAAATTAAGACCACAGAACTTGATTTGCTCAGTATCTTTCTTTTTTTTTTTTTCTTTTATTATTCATATGTGCATACAAGGCTTGGGTCATTTCTCCCCTCTGCCCCAATCCCTCCCTTACCACCCACTCCGCCCCCTCCCTCTCCCTCCACCCCCTCTATACCCAGCAGAAACTATTTTGCCCTTATTTCTAATTTTGTTGTGGAGAGAGTATAAGCAATAATAGGAAGGTACAAGGGTTTTTGCTAGTTGAGATAAGGATAGCTATACAGGGCATTGACTCACATTGATTTCCTGTGTGTG